AGAATAAGGATAACATGTTCAGGCTACCAGTGCATGTTTATATTACTCTGTCAGAGGCTGGTGAACTGGTGCAGTGTTGCTGTTTAAACTATTCCATGATTTTTGTGCTCAAATCAAGACATAAGTTTTTTTAAGGAAACAATAACATTTATAGTTAAAAATATATATTTTTTCCAATGCGTTCTTTCTCTTTTCTCAGCTCTACGTGCCCTGTGCTGTTAGAGAGTTCATGGCGTTAACTGTATTAAACAGGGGATTAATGCCCGGGGCTCTGGATCTCTAGTAATAGCAGACGGAAATACTGATCAAAGGACTCTAACTGTGCCGTGGGTGTTCGGACTGCCTCTGTCTGCTTCTCTGCATTACAAGAAGATGGGGCTTGGAGGATAGGGCACGCAGACAGACAGCCAGCCAGCGCGGGAGCTTCCTGTAGACTTTCTCCTGCCTGGACAGGTGACGTTTTGATCACGTATAATTAGGGCAGGATAAACAATTCAGTGGAGGAGCTATAGGTGGATCAGCTGTAGCTCCAGGTGGGCTGCACTTGTGACCCTTGGCAGGCGAACGTACCGTATACACGTGCACGGGATTTCATGTGAGTGTGCGTGCACGTGCGTGTGTTCCTTGTTTGTGCCTGTGTAGTATTTGTCTCTGCAAATCATGTCAGGGGGGGCTCCGTTTCCTCCGTGCTGTGTCCCAGGAGACACGACTGACACTTGCTCCAGGTTGCCCCACTTCCTTACTGTGTGTTGACAGGACCAGTAGTCAGACTCCTCTCCTTAGATGCAGTTTTAATCAGCTGCAATATATAGCCCCTACTGTCACAGCATTAGCTATTGATGTTTATAGGCTCTCTGTGTGTCAACCGAAATAACATAGATTATTTATTCAATGTCTGATGGCAGTTTGTCCTTAAAGATTGTTGTTTGGGGTTATTTACTGAGTGGTTATGGGTGTTGAGCATGCTTTACATGTAGCATAAGAGCCCAACCAGAGTCCCACTAACGGCGAGGAAGAAGTCACATCTCTTTCTTTTAATTCTACTCATGCCTCACACTGACCTAGAAAGGTGTGTAATGAGCTCGAGGTGTATAGCTTGTATATCAGCGTTAATACATATGTGCTTTGCGTTCGCTCTCATGTACTTATTGCAGTATATTTAGCTGCAGTCATCGGGGAGTTGGGGAATGCCTGGTGCATACAGCAGCCGTATATTTATGTCACCGTTATCTCTGCCCCTTGTGTGTTCATGTGCTCACTAATCTTTACGACAATTACCTTAAGTAAAATGGTGCTTCTACTTTTCTTAGCTCTTCGAAAAACACTTTGAAAATGAACATGTAAAGGCAGTGCTTTTTCCTCTAGTTGTAGACTATTCCTAATGCGCGTGAATGTGCATGTTATAATCACACATTAAAGTAAAAATGTCATAGAAGCATGTACGTTTTGAAAGGCGCATAATTCTAAAGCTGTAATGCCACCAAAATCAACACTGCTGCATCAATTTGCAAGTTCTGCTTCTGGCAGAATCAGCCTTTTTGTTATTTTTTTTTTTCTACCAGGCTGGGAGGGGTGAAGGTGAGTGAAAAGCATTGGGGCAACAGAAGCAGAGAAACCTGCACTGAGTGTGAAATAAAGACCGAGTATGATGAAGCTGGTAAAAGGCCGTGAAAGTAGGCTCCCTGCCGATTCCGTGGAGCGATGAGATGAGGCCAAGCCCGGCTCTGGCTAATAAGTGTGAGCAAGTGCAGCCAAGAGGCCTCAGGCAGTAGCCACATAACACCTATTATCAGCCTTCCTATAAGACAGCCATGTGTTTCCATTTACAGGTTATTGTTTAAGCTGTGGGAAGGTTCTTCGGTGTGAGCATATTGACACCTCCGTCCTTGTGTCTGTCAGCGCTGACAGTCTTTAATAGTTTCGTGGAGGTCAGCCTCCTGCCGAGCGTGGATAGGTGGAGGAGAAGGGCCGGGATACACGAGGACAATCTCGCTCCGCTGACACCCTGCAGAAGGACGATGAGAGAGAGGAATGCTTCTGTTGGTGCTATTTTGTGGCCTGTAATTGTCTGTAAGGTCTGTAAAATAGGATAGTAGAGCAGAGGAACTGCACTGCAATGGCAGGGACTGAGGCTCAGACAGTCCACAGGGGACTGATCAAGGAGGTGTGTGCTGAGCCAAGGAGTGAGAAAAAATATGGATGTGGTGGATTTTTTTTTGTGTGTGTGTGTGTGTACAAGAAACATTCTAACAGTAGTTTACACTGGAGCAAAATGTCTTTTTTGTTCATTTAAACAGATCCAGTCATGGGTGGAAGGGCCCTGCTGGTGGTATCTGTGGTGGTGTGGCTTGGCCCTGACCCCAGTGGATATAATGGTGCAGTGGAAAATGTCCTGTCAGTTGATGGAGGAGCTGCCTGTAGCAGCAGGAAGGAGTGCGGCGACAGGGGCCATGTGTGTTAACCTCTTTCCTTGTCACTTTTTTTTTCTGTCTTTTCTCCCCACCCACCCCCCACCCCCTCTCCTTTCATCTCCACCTTTTTTCTCTTTCCCTTTCCTTCCTTGTTCCCCCAGACTCCACTCGCTCTACCTAAACTCCTCTGTGACAAATTACTCCTGGCGGTTGATTTGTTGGTTGTCAAAAGTGCTCCTTGCGCTGCCATGAAGGTGGGGGTGTGGGCAGGAGAAGAGGGTGCTTCTCTCTCTCTCTCTCCCCCCTCTTTGTTCCTGCCTGTCGTCATCACCTGTCCCTCGCCTCCCCCCCTCGTCCTCCCTCATATGTGCTCTCCCTACAACTCAGTGTTGAGATGTCTCAGTGGAAATTGATATTCTGTCTCATAAGATCTCATTAGATTAGATGTTGTCCGTGTTTAATCAGCTCACACATTAGGTTTCCAACCCTTCTTCTGACAAGACTGTTTTGATATGTTCTAGTTTGTGTCAGAAGAAGGGTCTCGAGGAGAATCTTTTGTTATTTATGGAGGAGGAACTGAAGGAGGAGCAGGAAAGAAAAAATAAAAATGCGAGTGAGAGATAAAGACTTTATGACAAAACTATAAATGTCAGTGTTTGTGATAGGCTGCCTTCTGTAGTAAGCAGCATGAGCAGCTCCTGACAAAGAAATCTGTATTTTTCTGCATGATCTGATGAATTAATATAATAAGCTGCTTAGGAGACTAATGTACCTTAATACACTTCGTTTTGCTATTCCTGCAAAGATGTGAAGATTAAGACACTTAAGCTGATAAGTATTTACCAGACAATATGCATACTGTTGGAGTGGGTGATATGGTTAAAGAATATGTTCAAGCATATGCGATATACATCGATCAGCCAAAATATTAAAAGATACGGTACAATGTTGTGTACGTCCCCCTTGTGCTACCAACCGTGGACGTGGGACTTTTGAGGATACACTGTGGTGTTTGACTCTGAGACATTGGCAGCGGATCTTTTGGGTCCAGTGGGTTGTGTGGAGAGGCCTACATGGATCAGGCTTGTTCCAACACATGTCATGGATGCTTGATCAAATCGAGATCTGGAGAATTTGGACGCCAGATCAAAGCCTCGGGCTCTTGGTCGGGTACCTTGAGCCTTTCCTGAGCAGTTTTGCAGTGTGGCAGGGGACACTCTCCTTCTGATGAATGGTGTGATCAGTATGGCTCATATACACACACTAACCAAATGGGGATTGGTTTATCAGTTCTGTTAAACACCTAACAAATAAAGACGTTTAACCATATTGATTCCAAAATTCTGCAAATCCTATGCTGCCATAAAACAGTTCTGCTCATTGATTTGTAGCATAGCCAGCGATGGCCACACACAGCCAGAGATATTAAAGGGATAAACTACCTCAGAATAATAAATACAGCAAAATCTCTTGGCGGTTGACAAATCTCCTTTTTATTTGTATACACAGTACTGTGGGTTGTTAAGTGAATATGTGCACATGTGCAGGAAACTGGGCTCTAAAAAGCTTCTCCCTGAGTCTTTGACCTTGAGATTTGTCCTGCGAAGTGGATGATGACTGCGGGCTGATGCCTGAACACGAGGATTTGTCTTCACCTTTATCCAGCTTATTCAAGTAACAAGTGTTGTTTCATATTAGCGTGTTAGTGCTTTTTCCCCGCATCCAGTAGGCGACCGTTCCCACTGTATCGTCTAATGCTCGGTGATGGCGGATTGATGCCGCTGTCTGTGGAGTGTGTGCCCGTCAGATGGCGTGATGTTTATAGTGACAGCTGTTTAAGCTCAATCTGAGGTGATTTTATTTCATTGGGTGTTTGCCGTTTTGAAAAGAAACTCATGTCCTTTCAGTCTCACTTGCTGCTTTATTCACTAACAGTTTCTCTTTTGCAAAAGTAATAGAATATCTGTTTTCCTTTCAACCTCAGCTATACAGAAGCCAGATTGCTTTGTGTATCGCCATCGAAACACAGAGGAGAGCATTGCAATCCACTTGTGTTCAAAAGTCTAAAACCATCTTGTCTCTCTGTCTTTGTGTTAAAAGGGGGGGTTAAGCTTTTATACTATAAATATGCCATGAAAATCCCACTGTCAACGACACATTTATTCTAAGGCCTGTATTAACATAAAAATGAGGGCTTGTTATACAGTGAGATTTCAATAAAAAGAACACAAAATGCATTTAATGAAATTCAGATGCTGGGCCCTAGTTCCCTGAATCTCATTAAATGAGCTTTGTGCTGTTTTTCCATCTTCTCTTTGTAGAAGAGGTCCTTGAGTGCCCTTAATAATGTGGCAGATTTCATCATATTCCTGATTTAAAGAGGACAATGTCTGTCTTGTTCACTTGTTCTTTTCCATGCCCAAGCCAATCTCCACAGATGTAGTCGCACAGTTCCTGGATGTGGCTCGTGATAATATTCCATCTTGTGGTGCATTTTCTTTTAGTTACTGAAGTTTTGTTAAGGCTCACCGCTAACTCGTATTCTCCCTCTTTTTCTCCCTCCCCTCCCTTCTGTTTCCCTCTGCATAGGATTTGGTTTCATAACTTTTGAGAGTGAAGACATCGTAGAGAAAGTCTGTGAAATTCATTTTCATGAAATCAATAACAAAATGGTAAGTCCACACATTTTTTTTTTCAATTTCAGGTGGACGTTGAAGGATTAATATTTGATTTCTTCTTTTCCCTAGTATTAATAGCATAGCTGGAGTGTGTGTGTGTGTCTGTGCATATGTGTGTGTGTGTGTGTGTGTGTGTGTGTTCATGTTCATATGCACAGACTAACACACACACACACACACACACACTCTGTGGGTCTCTGGGTCTCAGGGATGGGAAAGCAGTGGTGTGTACTGCCCACAAACCGTGAAATTGTGTGGCTGAGTTCTGCCTGTCAGGCTGAGGGACGGGAGAGTGGAGCCTGTCCCTCTCCTTCTGAATCCCTTACCACACACACACACACACACACACACACACACACACACACACACAGGTGGAGATGTCCAGGGATGCAACAGGGAAGCTACTGGCAGAGGCAGAGTTCATTAGTCAGGGATTAACACCTTCCACAGAGTGCCAGTGATGCTTGTTTTATTTACACCAGTAATATGGTCATCTCAAAGCTCTACAGAGTTCAGTAGCAGTTTTCTAAGTCATCGTGTGACTTATGATAATTGACAGGAACCGTCCTCAGTGTAGCGAGTGTGACATTAGGTCCTCCTTCACCCAGTTCCACCCTGCAGGCCTCTTGAGAAATCCTGCATCATTTGAGCGGTTTTGTGGATTGTGATTGACTGGAGGGAATACTCGCCTTACTGGCCGTTCAGTGGGGCTCCTTCCATCGCTGTGTGTCTTCGCTCTCTCTCTCGCAGGCTTTTCCTCAAGCCGACTGACTGACTGGCTATCTGACTGACAGGGCCAGTGTAGTAGAACCATGTTCACCAGGGACCAGTCCAGGTCACATATGACCCCAGTATGCATCCCTACATGTCTCTGCACTGCATCACAGTCAGTGCTCAAGACTGGAACACAAAAAAGCCAGAGTGTGACAGAAATAACTGTTTGCGCATGGAGGATGTCCTTGTTGCAGATGTTGCAGACCCTTTGACATGTAGCTGTAGCGCTGTGTAAACACACAAATATCACACATAAGATAAGATAAGATATGCCTTTATTTATCTCACAGTGGAGAAATTCATATCGTTGGTAGCAGCATTCAACAGAGGTACACATATACGAGACAGGAAAAAAATAAAAATAAAGAATGTACATATAAATAAAGAGAAATAGTGCAAACAAGGAGAGTAGTGATGGCTTTGCTATTACACATTTAATGTAATCTCTGTCTATTTTAATTCTGAAAATGATTCAGTTTGACAGTATTTCTTTAGGAAATATTTCATCTTAGAAACATTTCTACATGAAGGTTGTTATTTTTTGTTTTCCTCTCCAACTTTTACCGTGTAGAAAAATGAGCAACTCCACAGCCTAGTTGTAAGAAGTTCTAATTAGATAATAATTGGATGGTAAACAGTAGTTCTAATTAGGAGTCTGAATTTGCTTAATAAAAAAGTTCAATAGTGTAGTAATCATTATTAATTCACAACATACATTATTATATATAAATACATTATTAAATTTGCAGCACAACATTAATTAAGTAAAGTGTTTGGAAAAACACAAGTCAATTATTCAAGTTATGAATACGCAAAGTAATACAGTCTGAACACTGCTCAGTGTTCAACAAGTGATTAAGCAAAACACAATTTGGCGCAGCTCACGGGCTGGAGAGCATAAAGTAGATGAGAGTAACTGTCGGACAGGTCTAGCACTTAAAACAAAGGCCAGTCCATTTGTGCTGTATTGACGGAACACGCTGCGCATCGTAGCCAACAGCAAGTGCCTGTTATCAGACAGTATAAGACACATAAAATCTCCTGCTACATCGCCGTCTAGCAGGTTTTATGGGAGAAAATGAGCACATGGTATATGCGTGGTCAGCGGTGAGGTGTGTACACAGTCGGTCCGCTGTAGCTAGCCCAGCTGCTGGGAACATCTGCTCGAGTGGATTCAAACTCAAAAATAGTGCCATCACCGTTGCCAACTTTGATTGCCCAGGGAATCTTTGGCATTTCCATTCCAGCAGTAAATACACATTATATCCACTGAACGGGATGTCACGCAGAAATTCTTCTTCAGCATTATTGGAAGCGTCTTTAAAATACTGTTGATAGGCATGTGGGAAAATGTCAATGATCTCCTCGATTCATAGAAAGCACGTGTGCTGCCCCAGGGGATGCATGCCTCCAAACTTGCAAAATCACCAGCAAGTTTCTTCCATTTATCCCATTGCTTTGCTATGATATTGTAAGGTCTTGACCTTTGCATTTAAATTAGTAAAATTGGAAAGCACTATGCGTCAACTTCTGTTGTTTTAACCCAGAGAGCCTGACAGACGCACTTTTCATCCGCATGAATTGCTCTCTAACTACTTATAGCGGCAAGGTGTAGCATATATCAAATGAAACCACACAACTTGACCTTTCCAATGGTGCTTGTTACTTGTCGGTGTGACAAAGTGTCAGTGGTAAAAAAAAAAAAAAAATCTTGAATTTACATCAGATTTAATCATAGTTACAACCTGCATACAGCTGTGCATTCATCTCAGCCCCCATTCCTCCTGTTTGAGTTACCCATGAACTTGTCGTTTCATAGATGTGTTAATATCTGCATATGTAACTAGCTGTGCAGTGCAATTATTGCAGGCCAACATCACGTCACAAGAAGGAGGCAGAAGTAATATTGTTATGAAAGCAGATCAAACTTCTGTAAAGTAACATCTTTACTCATGTCTTCACCCATTGTCTTTCTCCTGGCTCTCGGTTGAAAAAGTCACAAAACCAACATCGTTTCATAACACAAGTCTACCACATAATAAAATATACAGCAGAACTTACCCTTTTACATGACACTAGTTGCTTCTCTGTACCCCGAAGAGTAATCCGGTTTTGAAATTATTTCTGGGTTGTCTTCAACACAGGGCTGACATTTTATCCCACTTCGTGTGAAACATAAACACTGCAGAGTGGATTTGTTTTTCATTGCAGTGAGTCCAAAGTTGTGGTCAAAAGATGTGCAAGAATAATATTTATTTGATTCTAGTTGTGAGTCATAGTAAATCACACCATCATGAATCTGAAATTAAAAGCAGAACAATATCACGATGCAAAATATTTCCCTTTATATAGAGGCTGATATAATAAATCTGGAAGTATTACCATAACAAATGACAGAGTACCTGGTCAGTGTTCTGAAAAGATATGGTTAGCCCCTCTAATAACCAAGATAAGAGCCTCACAGTAAAGGTTGTTACATTAACCTGAAAATGGCCTCGAGCTCAAACGTTGAATATGCTATATAGGGACGACCTGACTTGACATTGTTAGCATAGGGATACAATAATATTCATTCATTCATTCAATTCTTCTGATTCTGATTCTGATTCTGATTCCACATTTTTTTAAAAGAAGCATTTTGTTGGGATTTACTGTCTTAAGACAGCAAGTAAGCTAAATAATAATACTTGCTTTTTTTTATTCTTTTTCTGCACCTAAGTTGCTCTGTATCCCCACCTCATACATTGCAACTGAAAATGTTATTATTATTAGAGATTAAATATATATATGTGTGTGTTTAGAAAGAGTGGCAGAGAGAGATATTCAAGAAATTAAAGGCTATTTTTGTTTTCCCATCCTCTCTCTTTTTTACCCTGCCAGCAACATCAAAGCTGCCTGTGATGCAACAGTCATTGCATGCAGCCGACTTACCGATGTGTCACAGTTAAAGACAGTTACTAATATTGTTATCAATATTTAGCAAACCTTTTTGCTATGCCGAGTGTAAAATGAGAAGTTGTTACGATGTGGACCGGAGAGCTCGCGTCTCTTGCACTTTTAACCACATGCAGCTGCGATGTGATACACCGTTGTGCGTCGTGACACTTGGCAGGGCGGGGCCCAGAAAATGCATCAACCAGCACACGACAGCAAAAAGCAGTATTTCTGTCCTGTGTGTAGTTATTCTTTAAAAAATTGTGACACATGAGGAAGCCATGCGACCCATCTGGGAGTCCCAGAAACCTTAACAGAAAAGATGAGAATTATTGAGGGGCTACAGTGTGAAAGGACAGCACAAGAGGCAGTTTTCTAAGGCTTTTGTCACCTTTGTAAGGGTCCCTCTTGGCAACACCTGCTGTACATTAAATATCTTTGTATACAGGAAATACATGTGACCCTCAGATCTTCTACAAAGTGCTGACATCTGGGAATGTCGGCAAAGAGAAAAGAATTTGGAGTGTGTTAAGAGCATTTTTCAAAGGCACAGAAGGTTTTTACCTTAGTTGCACATAGGAGAGCACTAGTTATCCGGTGTCTGAAGCACCAGAACACAAAATAAAAAATGCCTCCTGTCTTCATCCTTATGAAGTACTATACAGAAATAGACCTCATCCATCCTCCCCATGAGTGTTATCTAAGATGGTTCCTGAATAATTGATGCAGACAGAAATTCCACCCCACTTGGGAGAGTTGTGGATGTACAGGGCACCCCACCTTCTCCTTGCCCGTCCTCTCAAGAGCTCTGGCTGTGTAGTGGGTCAGTGCCCACTCAGATGTGAGTGACTGGACCTTTTAAGTGACTTGGTCAATCACCCTGTGTTCTCGTGCCACCGAGGCCTCACTCTCCGGAGCATGTCCTCTCTGTCACTGTGAATTCTGCCTCATATATAATTAAAAATAGGGTGCTGCTTAGCAAGAGTCTCATAACCTGCCCCAACCAGCTGCACTGACTTCTACATCGCCCTGCTTTAGTAAATGTAGGATGTGATAAAAGTATTGATTATCCCCTCCAGGGCTCCACCAGATTGTTGAAACATCCTTTAGCTACAGCTGCACCTACCCTTGAATTAAAACCAGTAAATATTTTGGAGTAAAAATCAATAAGCAGAGGATGGCTTGACAGTTTTCAAATACTTTTTTTAACGCTTTATCACTCCCCCCACATATGTGAATGTCTATATCGTACCGTGGTAAGGCAGCACCTTCTTACAGCTAAGAAA